CAGATGCATGGAAATCAGAGCCCTAAGAACAGGACCACCATCTAACCTGACAACGTTCTTCACAAAGCACTGCTTCAAGCAGAGGCAGAAACACACACACACAGTAGCAAAACAGGACAAACAGCTGGAATATGGAGACCACTGCGACCGTTTATTCTATGGCCTTGTCACTCAGAAATAAAGTTAAAATCCCTAGTTTCAGCTCCCATCTCTTCTGACCTTGAGTGACATTTATACTTGTATGTAGTTACATTTCGATTTGTGATACACAGTATGACAAACTTGGGTCAAACGATTCGGTCAATTCAGCAACCATGCTCACTCCACCCTTTCTTCCCCGTCTTGTCAGTCAACCTGTCCTACGCCGCTTTCCCTAGGACCAAGCAGAGATTCCTATTTACCTTGTGGTTAGCGTCTACGGCTTAAACGGACAGTTCAGAGCACACATTCCCTGCGTCCTGACTGCGGGGCTCACCCCAGCGTTTCCCTCACTAAATAAATTCATTATGAAAGTGAAGATGTCCTCTCAGTGGTCAGTGAGTGCACAGCATAAAACACGATAAAAGATAACACTTCTTTACATAAATACCTTTTCTGAGGGCAAAAAATTATTTCCAGTGTCCTTCTGTGTTCTAACTATAACTTCACTAACCCTGCCTTGGTGGCGTAATAAAACAGTGTAGTACAGTAAGTAGCATGGGTGGACCACAACTATTTAGCTTTAATTATACGTTACATGAATTATATATTATGGGATATATACGTGTGCGTGTGTGGTGTGTGTGTGTGCATATATATTTCATAGCCAGACAATGGTATACAGCTGTAATTTCGCAACTCAAAAGGCTGAGGCAGGAGAATTGCTGAGTTTAAGATCAATTTGGTCTGTGTAGCAAGACTGCCCACCCTGTCACTGAAAACATTCTAAATATTAACAAGTAGACAAATAAGGCCTCCATCACCAGAGGACATTTGATGCCTTACTTTCCAGTGACGCATCATTCCACTTCAATCACAGTTAAGTAAACATTGGAAGGAAAGATTTCAATATAAAACCTGGGGGCTGGGAATGTGGCTCAGTGAGGAGAATGCTTGCCCAGCGTGCAAAAACCTAGACTTGATGCCACCACTGATACCCAGCTGTGCTGGCACACACCCACATCTGTACTCCAGCACGGATGCCACCACTGATACCCAGCTGTGCTGGCACACACCTCACGGTATATTCTGAGCTCCCACACAGATATTGGGATGTTTTAATCTTAATGCTTCCTGAGTTCATGCTTTGAAATTATACGACACTGAGCAGCACTTCATTTCCCATGAAATTGTATTTCACTAAAGAACAATCAAAACTTTTCTGTAGCCAGGTGGTGGTGGTGCACGCCTTTAGACCCAGCACTCGGGAGGCAGAGGCAGGTGGATCTTTGTGAGTTCGAGGCCAGCCTGGCCTACAAAGCTACACAGGGAAACCCTGTCTCAAAAACCCAAAAGAAAAAGAAAAAAAGAAACTTTTCTGTATTCTCAATCTACCTTACTTAGCGTTTGGGTACGTTTTCATGTCATCTTAGAGACCAGCATTTATTCTGGAATTTTGATAGATAAGATTTTCCTAGAATATACTTCTTCTACTTGAGAAATGTTCATTTGTAATTTTCATATATGCAACTATTTCTCAGGTTAACTACCAGTCAAAAACTTGGTATAACTATGTATTCTTGTCGATCCTCAGAAATGTTTGCTTTAAACACTGACAAGTCATCCCTTGATGTCCTGGCACATGTTCCAAGACTTCCCAGGAGACCCCAAGTCTCCTCTATGGAGTATTCTGTATAAAACCCGCTCCGCATCACCAGTACAACCCAGTACAGTGTTAAAGCATACTGCCGAGGTCACGGCCAGGACAAAGCTGTTCACTACGGACAGGTTTGGTTTGGTTCGGTTTCCTTAAGCAGCTTCAATTCCAGCGTGGCTGACCTACTGATGCAGAATCAAGGCTGACGGTAATTATATACACACACGTTACCAATAGAGCAATACATCAAGTAACAAGGAAAGTTCCATTCACCCTTCTCATGTCATTTTAATCTCACTTCCCAGAAGAAACTGAAAACATTTTGTCAAAAAAAAAAAAAAAAAAAAAAAAAAACTCTCACAAAATATACAATTGAAGGGGAAGTTGGTGTATTCTGGTGAGAAGTTCTAACGTCAACGATTAGAAGGCAGAGTCAAAAACGGGGGAAACATATCATTTAAATTAGTTCTTTAAATATTAAATATTATACTCTCCTAGACTGTGATTAAAAAGAATCAAGGGGCCGAAGAGCTAGCCCATCTATTGTGAGCACTTGCCACTGTTACAGAGAGCCAGGGTTCCCAGGACCTGCATGCAGGCTGAAGTCACCTCTAACTCCAGTTCCAAGGGACCCAATGCCGTCTTCTGGCCTTTGTGGGCACCAGGCATGAGTATGGTGCACACACATGCATGTGGGAAAAATACTCACATACACAAAACGATGTACATTTTAAAAAAGAGTCAGGGAGAGTATTATGTCTTAAAAAGCCGAGGCGATGCTTGTGCTGCTGTTGCAGTCACCCTGACTCCAGAGCTGTGAGGCAGACCACAGAAATAGTCTGTTAAAACCACTGAGCTCATTCAGAACTGCGAAGCGCTAGCAATACATTCACGGCGAGTAAAAACGTTACACGGCATCTCTTAAAAAGCAAGACGAAGAAGCAATTGGTAATTTAAATCACTCTTACTTTACATTTGAAAAGTTCCTTAACAAAATTTTACTAGTAGATATGTTGAAAGATTAATATAATATTACAAGAATAACAATAAAAAAGTTACAACAACTGAAAAACTTTGAATTCTGACAAAAACTGAAAGCACGTACAGTTACAACACAGGTCAGTGATTGAAGCAATACAAAGGGCTAAGCTGATGTAGTCTAGTCGGAAGTTTTAACAGCCAACAATTAGAAGTCAGAGCTGGAAATAGAGGGATACAGTATGTTATTTAGTCTTTGAATATTAAACATCCAAAAGTGTCAGCAAGTTCGACGGGGTGAGAGAAACCTAAGTAATGTAAACAGATGTCTACCAAACCCTTATTTCTAACCTTCATATCCTACCTTCACACATACAAACTGCACTGGGCAGAATGCAGAAAGGAAGTAGGCTAAGTTTGTTTCCTTGTTAAGGAAGACAGGCACCCTGCGCTAAGGACCATGCGGATTACCTACCGCATACTTTGCAGCGTGTGAGAGCGCACGCTTTCAATGTCAACGGTGTGCTGCAAGACTATCTACCTGGCCCTGAAACTTCCAGTTACTCAGAGTGGACGCAGCTGCCGCCTGAATCTTAGATAGTAAACCCCGAGGCGCTGAAGGCGGGTTTAATCGTGCCTAGAGCTAGTGGGTGGTTTACACATGGCACACGCGTGTGCGCGCTGAGCGTCAGACAGGACAACCATTGGGAATCTGGGGCCATCGGCGAGAACCGAAAGTCTCCTATGTGGACAAAGAGCCACATTCCAGGTTGCCCTGGATAGTTTATTACAAGTTTTTAACTAAACTACTCGAGAACTTACTCTCAACTCCTGACAGGTAAAGTGAGTTTTTAAAAGAGACAACCAAAAACAAAGTGTAACACCACTCCACTCTTCTGAGTTTTTAAAACAGTCCTTTACGGCCAGACTACTCTTCTCGTGAAAAACCATTTAAGCATGCAAACCATGTTTTAGGGTAAGTGTGGGCGTGCCCTCCTGTGTGCTGGGCGCCCTGATCTATCATCTCCTTGTTCTACTGAGTCTCCCACTGAACCTGGGGCGAGGCTGGCGCCCAGCAGACCCCAGTGACATTTATCCGCACCCACAGTGTTGTGGCTGCAGGGTGACAGGATCATGTCGCTTGGCTTGTTGTATGTTAATGTTGGGGATTTGAACTCAGGTCCCTGCGATGGAACGCCAGGCACTCCAACCCACTGAACCATCTCAGAAGACCTGCGTTTTCGTAACATTCTTAGCATCCTTGATGACACCTGCATTTTGTGAAATTTATCCAAAGCACGCAGTGAGCTTAAAAATATCTGGGCTCATGTCTATAGACTATTTATGAGTTCTTACACACTTACTCCACTTAGACGACGTCTACGAGTATTTTCTATAAGAATGAGTTAATGCTTATTAAGTAAGCTAAAACATCTAATGCATAAGAATTTGCCATGACTGAAGCAGGTAAATGAATACGTTCACATTTGTGATTTTTCCCTCTGCATTTTTTCCATCACATCTATAAATACTATTTTTGCGTGCATATGTATGTGTGCATAGGTGCATACACACGCAAGCCACAGCAGTGTCAACTGTCCATCACCATCCCTCCACCTCTGAGGCGGGGTCTCTCACTGAACCTGGAGCTCCCATTGTTCTAGCCAGGCTAGCAATCCTGTGTCTACTACCTGAAGTGGCAGAGTCATACCGAGGACTATGCCTGGCCTTTAACGTGGCTGCTGGGATCCAGACTCTAGTTCTCATGCGTGCACAAAGCACTTAGATACTCGTGTGTTGAGTTATTTTTCTCCATCCCCTTACGTATGATCTTTACATGGCTCTGGGAATCAAACCCAGGCAAAGGATTTCAAGTGCCCATTTTATCACTGAGCTATAGCCCCATCCCCTATTTACAAATCCCTTTTTGTCTTATAAAAATAGTCGAGGATTCATTTTCCCTCTCCTTATAGCTAATCTCTAAAACAAGAAAATTTTACTTAAAAAAATATTTCAAAATAGTTGGAATTTACATAATAGTTTCTTCTAGACATTAGAAGCCTCCGAATATTCCAAAATAGTTTGTCAAAATCTTCCTTCGCTCAGAAACAAATTTTACGGGAACAAGAAGGCTAGGTGTTGAGGCCATAAATGTTCTCAAACGTACTTCCTTCTATTTTATGGCACAATTCACAGACATGCATTTCTTGCATATACAAAGGCTTACCATCTGTATGGGTTTCTTGTGGAGATCCCGCTCGGTTACCAATTTTTCCTGGTCAGTGACGTAAAGGCCCTTCTGTGCTAATGCCTGGATCACAGCATCATGGCCCAGGAGCGGCTTCGCTGCGTCGCTCTTGAGGATGAGGCTCCCGGCACGGCAGTACAGCTCAGCAGACAGAAGCAGATTGACAACTGGTGGCTTGATGTGCTCCTGGTCATACTGATCCGTGTAAAAGGGTTCCTGAAGCTCCTCAGGCACATTTTCTATAAAGACGAAGGGGGAGAAAAATCTTTTCATAAGATTTCTATTTAAAAACACACACAGACAAATGCCATTTAATAATCCCTGAAACTCACATCACAGAACTTGAGATTATTCCTTAAAATATTAATATCCCTTTAACTGGCAAGACGATTTTTTTTTTTTTTTTTTTTTTTTTTTTTTTTTTTGAGGGGGATGAGGAGGATCTGGGCATAAGATCTAAAAGGAAAGCTACAAATTCCCGTTAGAGGTCATATGGTTCTGAGATACACAACAGGAGGAGCAAACTAGGAGAAAAGCCTTCAGAGTGTGATGATAAAGGCACGCCCACCTGCAGCGTCTCAAGCAGGTTGCTAACCCTGTCAGTGACTAGCTACACAAGCAGTCAGTCAGGGAAGGCACCTGCTATCCGAAGACTGTTGTCTACCACAGCCAACGGGAGAAATCAGCTACCAAGTGGTAAGTAAGACTGCCTAACTTATTTGGTCCCTCTTCCTTAACTGCCCCTCACCCTGACCCCTGACCCCTTTGTTCCTTCTGCTTAGGCTGCCAAAGTTATTGAGGGGAAATCACAACTATTTAGATAAGATCTTCTGTTCAAAATCTTTCATTCAATACTGGTGACTGTACAAATCATAAACAGGTGAAATACTATTTTACATGGGTAAGAAAATAAAATTTGAGCCAGGTGTTGGTGGTATATGCCTTTAGCCCCAACACATGAGAGGTAGAGGCAGGTGATCTCTGTTAAGTTTGGGGCCACCCTGGTCATCAAAGCTAATTCCAAGACAGCCAGGGCTCCAGAGAGAAACCTTGTCTCAAAACCACCATCACCCCCCATTGGGGGGAGGGGCTGTAGGGCTGGAGAGATGGCTCAGTGATTAAGAGCACTGACTGCTCTTCCAGAGGACCCTGGTTCAATTCCCAGCACCCACATGGCAGTTCACAAGTGTCTAACTCCAGTTTCAGGGAACCCAACAGCCATGACAAAACACCAAAAACACATTAAAGAGGGAGCGGAGGGGAGGGGAGGAGGGGAAGAAAATTTGAAGCCAGTAAAAAACATGAGATTGTAAAGGCATCAGAAGGTACCCAGGCATACAGCACAGGTCACGATAAAAATCAAAGACGATCAAACCTAAGTTATAAGCAAAGTGTAGTGGTTTGATTGAGAATGTCCTCCATAGACTACGGTGTCTGAATACATGGTTCCAGTTAGTGGCATCCTTTGGGGAGGACTGGGAGGTGCAGCCAGGCTGGAGGTAGTGCGTCACTGGGAAGGGCTCTGAGAGACAAAAAGGCGTTTGCTCTCTCTGCTTTGTACTTGAGATTCAAGATTTGAGTTCTCAGCTCCTGCCCCTGCTGCCACGCCTCCTTGCCAGGGCAGATTCTCACCCATTTGGAAACAGAATCCAAAAGAAACTCTCCCACAGGTTGCTTCTGACCATGATTTATCATTGCAACAGAAAAGTAGTTAATACAGAAAGGGCGCTAGTATTCTAGAAAAAGGAAAAACAGGAGCTGCACACCATTCTGGAAGAAAGAGGGTAAGCTCAGTTTTAGACACGTTGAGTTTGAAATAACAGTAAAAATATCCAAATAGAAATACCCAGTGAGCAGCAGAAAATATAGGACTCAGAAAGAGGTCAGAGCGAATCTATAAATTTGGGATTTTGGAGACACCTAAAAATATCATCCATGTTTAATAACTGAAAACGCTTTCCTTCCTTTCTAACTGCCTTACCTACCCAAAAGTGAGCAAACTTAAATTGAACATAGGGCTCAGCATCCACGGCAGACTTCAGTGGTAGCACTAGGTTTCAGTATCATAGTACCTACAGAGACGCTATTAGCAGAAAATCCATTAAAGAAAAACCATACTAAGATTCTAAATGTCTAAGTAGATTTTGTTAAAATAACTATTAGCTGGGCAGTGGTGCCACATGCCTTTAATCCTATCACTTGGGGAGAGAGGCAGGGGGAATCTCTGAGTTCGAGGTCAGCCTGGTCCACAGAGTAAGTTCTAGGACAACCAGGGCTACACAGAGAAACCCTGTCTCTAAAGACCAGAAAAAGGAAAAGATAATTATTATGAAATATCTAGGTGGATGTTGTTTCCTTTAATAGCAGTAAAAATGAGTAATACAGGTAATCTTGGCATCTAAACACTAGCAACACTCACACACACACACACACACACACACACACACACACACACACACAAAAGTACATGCTCATTACTAAGATTTTAAGCTTACTTATCCCACTGTCTTAGTTAGGGGTCCTAGTGCTGTGACAGACCACTGAGACAGTCTAAAAGCAGCTTGGGGAGGGAAGGGCTTATTTCAGCCTACAGTGCCACATCACAGTCTGTCATGGTCCATCACTGATCACTGAGGGAGTCGGGGCTGAGACCTGGGTGCCAGGGCCATGGAGGGGTGCTGCTTACTAGCCTGTTCCTCATGGCTGAGCTTGCATTTTTTTTTAAATAAGACTTATTTATTATATATACTATCCTGCCAGGCACACACATGGTACACAGAGCATTCATACATACGAAGTAAAAATGAGTCTTTTATTAAGCGCAAAGAGCTCACTGGAGCTCAGGTGAGCGCGGTGAACATCCCTGACTGAAATGAAAAACCGTGTGTCACGTGATCTTATTTACCGGGAATGTGCAGCTCTGTGGTAGTCTTCCCAGGTCTGCGTTAACTTCAATCACTACAATGTTAAATAAGTCAACTTTAGAGGCATTCTGTAAATACCTGACTCGTTTCTTTCTAAGATGAAAAGTACGTTTTGTTCTTAAAAAACTGAAGGCTCACACACTGGGAAGAGTGGGACCGAGGAGTGTTGCCAAGCCCAGGCCCTCCTGGCATCACCGTGTGTGAGAGGCTGTCAAGTCGCTGCCACCCCGGGAGGAACACAGTGGGTGAGCAACCTCTCTCCTACTTGAACATCTTTCCTTTGGGCGGTTTGGCTCGTCTTCGGGTGCTGGGACACCCCTGCCAAAGGCCCGTGGAACGCAAAGACGGTGCTGTGCACAGAGGCAAGACAGCACAACCGCCAGCGGAGACAGGTGGTGTCTGTGGTGGCGGTAATCACGGGAGAAGAAAGGAGGAAGGCCAGAGGAGATGGAAGACAGAAGGCGGACATCACCGGGGGTCTGGGACATGGTCTCTGGGCATCCCTATTCGAGGACACAGCCAGAACCCATGCCAGGACCTCATCATCATTCTAGTCACTCAGACCCAAGGTGGAAGGAGGCCCCGGCATTCCAGAGCACCGAAGAGGACCACAGGGAAGAAAGTGAGCCAGGCAACTCCCGTAGAAGACCAGCTGCTTTTACCAGGCACACAGCATAGAGGCAGTTTGGCAAGGACTAACACAGACGCCAAGGAAAAGCTTGACGCACAACTCAGCATGTAACTCGGTTGCTTGGGCTTTCAAAATGTTGCTGTCACGACAGACCACAAGACTATGAAAGATTAAAAGTGAATGTGTAATATGATGTATGATCCTGGATTTGATTTTGCAATGAGAAATAAAATAGCAATAATTAGCGTTGAAACAAAATTGAACATGGGTTGTGGATTTGAAAATATCAGATAATTTTCTGATTTTTCTTTTTAAAAAAGGGGATTATCCAAGAGAATTAACTTACATTTAAAGAGATACAGTGAAATATCTGAAGGCATGGAGAGGGCACAATGTCCCCAGAGTGATGGGAGATGCCATTCTGTAAACATGTTTCTCATACTGGTTAATGAATAAAGCACTGTTGGCCAATAGGAAAGCAAGACAGGCGGGACCAGGAGACAAGGAGGAAAGAGGAAGTAGTAAGGAGGAGTCAACATGGAGAGTCTGGGAAGATCAGACACAGGCCCCATTCCCCGGTAAGACGAAAGCGCGTAGAAATATTAGATTAAGCTAGCCAATAAGAAACAAGTAACTGGCCAACAGCATTATATCAAATACAGAGGCTCAGTGTGTTAATTGGGGCTGGCGCGGCGGTGGGACAAGACCAGCGGCGGGCGGAAAAACCTAACTCCTTACACCAGTGCATAGTCAAAACAGTATCACATATATTTATAAGTACACACACGTATAATGTACACATATATTTGTGTAGAAGGAAGAGAGGCTACAATGAAAAATTGGACAGTATGTTCACCGTTGATAAACCCAGGTAAAGCGGAAATGTAGGAGCTCAAGACACTCTTTGCTGTCACATCTGAGATCTCCCAGAGTTTCACACACCAGCGAACTTCAGTGTTCATACAGCTGTACGAGCCAGAAGCCGAGGCGTCACCATCACTATTTCCCTCTCCCTCAGCCCCCTAAAGGACCCAGAACCGAGCCCACACCTTCCCTTAGTGTGTCAGCTCAGGTCTCTTTGGTCCGTGAAGGAGCGCTTTTCACCTCAGTCACTGTGTTTATAGATTAATTTTATCTTCCCATACTCATTTTTGTTCTCACGCCAAAGCACACCCTACTTGGGGCTGAGGCAATAGCTCAGTGGGTAAAATGTCTGCTGTGCAAGCAAGGGAACCCGAGTTCAGATCCCCAGCGCCTACGTAAAAAGCTGGGCAGAGCAGCACACGCCTATAAGCCCAGGCGGGGGGGGGGGAGGGACGACACAGGTGAATCTTGGAGGCTTTGCTGTCATGCCTGCATAGCCAAAGTGCTGAGCTCCAGGTTCTGAGGGAGCCTGCCTTAAAATAATGTTTAGAAGGTGAAGAGCAATAGAGGAAGACAAACGCTGACCACTATGTAAGCACCTGTGCATATGCTCGGGCGCATGCGCGCGCGCACACACACACTTACACACACACACACTCACACGTATGCACACACACACACTCATACCTCACACACACATTCACACACACACACTCACACCTCACACATTCACACACTCACACACACTCACACATGCACACACACTCACATACACACATACACACTCACACACTCACTCACACACACACAAAATCACCCA